ATATTTTGTAGATAGTTACCTGTTACATTTTGGGAGACGGGTGTTAACAAGTAACTGTTGTAGTGGTTTAATCTCACACTCAAATGTAACTAAAATTACTACTACAGTCTTGCTCTAAATATCAGATCAGTCATTCTAGTTCACTTCTACTCAAAATGGCACCAAGTACACAACTAAAACCACTCCAACTGGCAAACGCAGCCACCCTAAGACACAGCCAGCATTCTAACTGTAAAGCATCCTGCATATCAAGGTTGGTCAAAAGACAGCATAATTCAAGTATACAGGTGGAGGTTAAGTATACAAGCATTCATGGAGGTTAGGTCTATCAATGGCTATTATCCAGGACAGGTAGAAGTGGTGTCCCTAGCCTCTGTTTCTCTGGAGGTGGGTGACAGGGGAGGGATCATGTGATGATTATCTCTGGGGCATCTGGTATAGGCCATTGTCAGTAGACAGGATACTGGGCTAAATGGATCTTTGGTCTGACTCAGTAGGGTCATTATGTTCTAGGTGAAGATGCAGGGTACATTTAAAGGAAGTTAAGGTATTCTACATTGTGACATCACTAAATCCCTTTACAGCTAATGGAACCACAAAAATACATTTTACTTAAGAACAGAAATTTGCAATCTTGACTAACACGATACAACTCATGCCTGAATGCAAAAAGGTGCTTTACTTTAAAAAAAAAATCAAAATTAGAACTTGCCTTACAACTTTAAATATCTTAAACTACATCACATGGACTTCCTGCCAAGATGGATCAATAAAACTATAGTTTTTGAGGAGCAGCAAAATTCATGGTGCTCCTAATCATGACAAACATTTCGAAACTTGCTAAATTTTTCATCATATACTATTGTCCTCTGTTACAGATTGAAGTCACAGCAACAAGAGATTTAAAGGGAAAGTGTGCATGAAAGGAATAAACCATAATTACATGTGGGCATAGAGATTAACACAAACCTCTAGTTAATGTACTCCTAATTTGTCAGGACACACCCACTGGTAATAACTTCCAGGGTAGACACTGCAATTGCACATGGCTACATACAGTTTGCATTACTGAATACCGCTCCAAGATAGATTGTGAGTTTCCACATCCTTTTGCACCAGAAGACTGAATTAATCTTACTGAACAGTTTCTCAGACCAAAAAAACTGAAGATGCAAGGTCACCTCAAGCTGGCAGAGAGCTAGATTGATTGCCAGCTAAAACAACGCTGCTGAAGGCAATACTATACTATTACAGCTTTATCTCAGCCCTCAGGAATTACTGAAAATGAACACAAGGAAATATTTTCTTTAACTCACATGCGAACAGCTGTATTACATGTTTATTTGTAATTTAAAGCATTAAGCACATTGATTAACATTCACACAGAAGTCCGGATCAACCTTCAATGCAATCTTGCATCCTTTCAGATTAAGTACTGCATTTACAACAAGAGCATGGTCAATTTTACATTCATTCAGGTGAATTCAGAAATCTTTCAGAAAATTTTCACACCAGTTTCTAAACCTTAAAGTTTAGCTGTTAGAGAGCCTCTTCGCTAAGAAAACCTAAGGCTGTCCTGTAACAATATAGGCCTACTGCAGAAAGAATTCTGAGTAACTCTTAATTTTTCTTTAAGTCCTATATCAACCATAAAAATGTGCCTATACCTCCAGCAGGTCCATGCTTGGATTTCACCCTGTCATATAGATTCCTAAAAATTACATAATCCTGGGCAAAAGAAAGATTCAGAAGGCTACTCATATGCAAGAGTCTTGAGTATGAGCCAAGCGTAAGTAATTCAAGTCTAACAAGAAGGTTAGAGGTAGCAAAACTCAAGAACAAACTAGGCACACTGTTCATCTCCCAGAAACTCAGCATATTGAAAAAGTCACGAGACAGTCACCTCCCACAGAGTGGTGTCCAAACAGTACCCGAAATATTTTAGACACAAGCAACTTAATATCTACATTTTCAAACAGTTAACCATGCAGGCATGCACATTCATGTTCTCACCTGGAAATAGTTTGGAAGAGAATTATCCTATGAAATAGGATTTATTGCATCATTTAATAAGGCATTTTTAAAACAAGATCAATAAAATATTGCTTCATGCTTTCTCATTGCCTCCTACCAGTCAGACAGTGAGCATTTGGATTATCAATATGCCTGAGTGCTTTGAACATTTGTGCGTGAGACACATTTATAAACAATTAAAGTACTAGTTGCTCCTTACTACAGACTTAACACAAGACCTTCACTTCCTGGCATTTTTCATATCAGGGAAACAAATGCTTAGGAGGACATATGGGGCATGTTTACACTGCAATTAAAAACTCAGACTCGCAGAGCTAAAGGTCTGTTCAAGTGCAGTGCAGACACTGGTATGCAGCCCAGATTTTGTAAATATCCCATCTTGGTGTGGGAGAGTTCAAGTTTTTAAATTGCAATGCAATCCCCCCCCCCCCAAAAAAGTATGAAGCCTCCAAAGTGAAGATATATGTACAGCACCTTCCAGTGCTACCTTATGGATAAATATTTTCCTGAACTTTTCATTATTTCAGAGTCTCTTTACAACATAGGTTTAAAGCTGTGATAATACACAGACTTGTTTTCTTTAGTCCATTTTAAGGAAACCAATCAGAAGACATCTAGAAAAGAAATACTGTACATTTTCAACAGCCACACCCTCTCCAAGAATAAAGAGGTCAAGTTGACAAGGGTCTAGCTCCGTAGTGTCCAACACACTAGCCACATGTGGCTATTTGGCCAGGTGAGTGTGGCTAGATAACTTTAGTAGTAGCCATTAACAGTAGTAGTTATTGTTTTCAAAACAAGTTGGACACCACAGGTCTAGCTACTTAAGTCTTAGAGCAGTAGACATGTTGTTTTTAAAGTTACAGACTAACAAGTTGTCCCATGGCTCCTTAGAGACCAACAAATACATAGGATTATGAACTGAAAATTTACAACATCAGATCTCGGCAAGACAAGTTAAACATTGAGAGAGAACACTACATAAGGCATTCAACCTTGTCTGCACTCTTCAGACTGGCTATGACCCATACATTTCATAGCTATTTATCTGGCACCATTCATGATTCTACACCAATTTTCAAGAAAACTAATGAAAATCTTAGGCAGGCACTACAGAAAAAAAATCTCTTTTCTACAAAATATACATATCTGTTGAAGTAATGCTCAAGAAAAACAGGCCACCCTAACTAGCCTCTATTGATGTGAAGTTTCAATGAGAAGGTAAACTGTACAATTTACTACAGACATAGCTTCAGAGGCAGTTTCACATGGCCAGAATTCCCAGCTCAGTAGTATCATGTGCTTATTAGGGCTGTTAGCATTATCCTGCACAATTTCAAAATACTTAATTACTAAAGTAGCTCCACTTTCATGTATTAATTTTCTTCCAATTGGTACCTCTCAACATACCACATAGTAGAAATATTTGCTTATCTCAGCTAAGCTTAACATTTGAATGCCCCAACTCTAGCAACTCTGAGCATATGAGTCAATACAAAGCTGTACCAAGGTTTGCTTTCACTGGAGTGCCACAACCAAATTAATCATAGTTACCTGGTGATTAAGTTATAAATTATTCTTTATACAAGTGGTAACTAATCAGAGGGGTTTCACCTCTTAAAACAAGTTACTCGGAAGTCACCTATGCTGATTTTTAAAAAAAAAAAAAAAAAGAGTTAAGGATGTGAGTTTCAATTTCAGAATCATGGTTCATAAAACTCCACACCTCTATGCAAATTACTCTGTACCTTCTTTACAGAGAAGGGCAGGGCGTCATGGCTTGCTGATTCGGATTCCTTCTAGAATAACACCCATTCAGCTTCGACTCTCAAACCCGTCAGTTTAGGTAAGACAGGCCTGTTAAATAGTCTCCTCCGCAAAAGCCCTTAAGGTTCTTAGCCCAGGCTTGGGGCGGCAAGGACAGAGAGACCCACTAACAGGAAGCACTGCAGAGCCGCACAAAGGTGATTCAGCAGCAGGTCCGGGATGGAAGAGGACACTAGTAGCCATTGTGAGAACTGCCTCCTTCCCCTGACCAGGGCACACGGTTACCATCACACTACAGCCTACTCCACAGCACAAGCTCCTGCCTTAAGGCGCATGTCACACCGCCGGGAGGCAGCTCAGGATAAGCTCGCGGGGGTGCGGCTCACCCCCAAGGGCCGGGGGGAGGGGAGGGCAGGCGGCGGTTG